GGGGGGGGGGGCTCTGAGAATGAGGACAGGTGCTGTGTGAGGTCAGATGACAGGGGAGGGGTGACGGTGGAGGTGGGTGACAAGGGAGCAGCAAGTGACGACAGGCTACTTCAGAGCAGACAGTGTGGCCTACCAAAGAGGTAGCATTTAAATTGAGCCAGGGAAGGCTGTGTGTCTTGTGCAAAGGCACCGGGGCAGAGACAAACCCAATGTGTTTGTAAGGCAGAAAATAGATCCACTGTGAGAGGAGAGGATGGGGAGGCCAGCAGGGACAGGTCGAGGAAAGGAACTTGGGCTTAGTTCTAGGGGGTCCGTTGGAAGTGGGAAGCCTGGAGAAGACATGGCCCATGATTCAGTTTCTTTTTCAAAGATTCTTTGGGCTGTGGGAGCAACACGGAGGTCAAGCAGGAAGGCAGGGAGGTTGTTGCAGTTCTCCACGCAGGGGACGGGTGCCTTGAGCCAGCGGGGCGAGAGGTGAACGGGGACGTGCCGTGAGGGAGCGTGATGGGGCTTCTGAAGAAGCAGGATGGAGGGAGGGAGGAACCGAGGCCCTGTTCTCTGTCTGAGCAGCTGTCCTCACAGGAGCCGTGGACTGAGCTGGGGGCAGAGAGCGTGTCTGGGGCTGGGTGCGTGTTGACCATCTCAGGAGGCAGGTGCAGGTGGGACTGGGCTCGGGCGCGGCCAGAGCTGGACGGTGCTAAGCTCATTGTTTGCCTTTGCCGTGAATACCGTGTGCTCCTTGAGAGAAGAGTCGAGGGACCGTCCCCCCAGGGATAGGAGTTCTGCGTGGCCTTAAAACACTGGCCCTCACGGGACTGTCTTCTCCTCTTTGCCCGAGAAAGCCACAGAGAGGAGCCTGTGGTCAGGTTTTTAGCTTATTTGGTTGAAGGAACCGTTTCCATCTAAGCCAGAGGAGCCCCCACAGTGGGGGAAGGTGGATGTGCCCAGCTCAGAGCTGGCAGGACTGGTGACAGCTGTTACCACCGCTGTCCCTGGCCCCGGTGCCATCAGCCTTTCGGGTCCTCGCTGCCCAGGGCTCTGGGGCCATTGGCAAGTGCGAGCAGCCCCCGGCCTCACATGAGTACAGGCTCCTGCCTGCGAGCCACAGGCCGCCCCTCGCGGGCCAGGTAGAGCCAGGTGGCCCACGTGAAGTGGGTTTTCACTTAAGCTTGGTGGGAGCCCAGGCCCGAGGAGTCAAGTGTAGGAGCCCCGTGGGAAGCTGCCCCAGACTGCGGCCAGCCCTGCACTTAAGCCCTTGCTCCTGGTCCCTCCCCATCTTGCACTGGGCCCCGGAGGGACCCCAGAAGGGAGGCACCTGGAACTCCAAAGCCAGTGTCCACTGCTTCAGGGAAGGGTCCTGAGGGGCCAGAGAGCGTTGTGGGGGGCGCGGGGGCAGGCAGAGTCCAGGGCTCCTCCCTCAGCCGCAGCCAGGCTCAGGTCTCCTAGGGCTTTTTGAATCCGAACCGTAAGTGAATCCCCACCTTCGGACATCGGACGCTGGATCGACACCTGTTTTAAGGGCGATGAGACAGGCAGGCCCCCCGAGTCCTGGGTGCTCCAGGCCGCAATGTATGGGCTGTGTTACCTCCTCTTTGGGGCAATGCTCTGGCCCAAGAACTATTATTCTGCCCAAGTGACCCCCGAGCAGATGCATCCCCGGGCGTCTTCTGACCCCTTGCCTACCTCCGGTGCCCTGTCTGCTGCTCCAGACGGAGGGGAGGGACAAGGGCTGCACCCAAGAGACCGCTGTGCATGCTGCAGGGACGCTGCCCGGGGCGGAGGGTCTGGGCGCTGGCCCCGGGCTCTCTGGAGGCCACATCCCCTCTCACGTGTGCTCGAACGCACACAGGCACCACGTGCAGACACACGCACGCACGGACGCGCGCACGTAGGCACACGAGGTACACGCAGATGGCCGGCCTCACTCGGCCACCTCGACCTCTCTCTGCAGACATCTTGGAGTACTACTTGGCCTGCTCGCCCCGTGCCTCCAACCCCTTCCAGCAGGTGAGTGCCGGGGGTGCTCCTGCCCCGGTGCGGGCGGGAGGGGGCCACACGGGCCCTGACCCCCACGGCCCCCAACCCCTCTCAGACGTGATTGGACCCTGGGACCCGAGGAGCAGCCGGATGAAGGCCACACTGACATCACTAACTGCCCCCGGGGTCAGCGCCCTGATGCCCTCGGTGCAAGCCTTTTGGGGTGGACGGCCTACCGCCCCGAAATACCTGGGATTCCTTTCATTTCTTGGGTTCCCCTGGGTGGCCCTGCAGAGCGAAGCCAAGCGTCGCCCTGCGGGAGGGATCCCGTGCCCACCTCTGAAATGACGGGACAGGTGTCGTCAGGGTGGAGTTTGGAGGGAAACCCTTCGGCCCCCTGCCTGTCATTCCACGTGACTGCATGGCCCTCTGGGGTCCTGAAAACCACCTGTTTCAGAGACACCATGTGTTTGGTGATCTGTCTCATCTCTGCGTACGTGGGCAGGCTCGCAGGGAGCCAGGGAGGGGTGTCCCGCGGGCCCACAGAGCAGAGTGCCCACGGGCTGGCGCAGGCCCGGGACAGCGGGACTGGCAGACCCGTGTGGGGAGGGGTGGCCCTGGGGTGGGAGAGACGGGCTGCCCCTGCCCCTGCCCGTCAGCTGCTTCTCTGTGGAGCAGAAGCTGTCTGGCAGCCACAAGGCGCTGGTGGAGATGCAGGGCGTCGTGGCCGAGCTGCTGAAGACCGTCCCCCGGGAGTACCCGGCCACCAAGGTGAGCGGGTGGGCGGCGGGCCAGCTGGGGAGCTAGAGGGCTAGATGTTGCGAGGGGCAGTGCCCCCTGCCGGGCTCCTGCGGAGGTCCCTGCCTCTTCCACACCCTTCCCGGCGGTGCCCTCCCTTCTCCCCTGCGTCCACCCTTCATCTCCCTGGACAATCGTGGGAGGCTTTTAAAAACAGGTCTGTTTCTTACTTCTTTTTAACGTACGTACGTGTATACGTATTTCTCGGCGTTTGTTTATTTTTGAGAGAGAGAGAGCGCGAGCAGGGGAGGGGCAGAGAGAGAGAGGGAGTCACAGAACCCGAGGCGGGCTCCAGGCTCCAAGCCGTCAGCACAGAGCCCGACGCGGGGCTCCAACCCACGAGCCGTGAGATCATGACCTGAGCCGAAGTCGGACGCTCGACCGACTGAGCCCCCCAGGCGCCCCTCTATTTTTTATTTTTAAAGTAATGCGTGCTGTTTGAATTAAAAGAAATAAGGAATAATAAGGAAAATAGGGACAGATGTGGGAACAAAGGAAGGTCCACCCCCGAGCCCGTAGGGGTGTTCCGGGAATTGGAGGGCTGATGTTCTGGGGCCTGAACACTTCACCCCACACCTTTGCTACCATGCTCCTGGCAAATCCCAGGCTCCCCGTAGGTGCCGGTCAGCACATGGGAGCCCTGCCCGGCCCGTGCGCACCACTGCAGAGTGGGCACGGCTCGGCTCTCAGCCTTTTTTGTGTGACCAGCTGGATCTTCTGTAGTAAACTCACGAAATTTAAGTTAAAAGTGCACATGCATGTTACAGTTACTTCCTATTTGTGGTATAGCCGGGGCGTCCCCTGGGTGTTTTGCAATTGAGCGGATAGGTAGGTACGTCCTTGTGCCGGGGCCGCCAGAACAGACCGCACGCCGGGGGCTTAGACAGCAGAGATGGATTTCCCGACGCTTCTGGAGGCTGGAGGTCAGGGGCACGGGCCAGGGCACGGGCAGGGCTGCGACCTCCTGAGGTCTCTCTCCATGGCGTATCGGCACCACGTTCTCGTGTCCTCACGCCCGCGTCCCTCTGCGCGTGTCTGTGCCCCGACCTCTTACAAAGACGTCAGTCCTAGTGGATTGGGGCCCACCCTCGTGACCTCTGCTTACCCTAACTACCTCCTTAAAGGCTCCGTCTCCAAATACGCATTTTGAGGTATTGAGGGTTAGTAATGCATATGCAACGTGAATTTGGGGAGCAGGGACACAATTCAGCTCCTAATAAATAGTGAGTTTTGCCATCCTGAAATCCGTTTCTGACTCACAGAGCGTTGCTCGCATATGTGTTATAAAAGGCAGTGCTGGGGGGCGCCGGGGTGGCTCAGTCGGTTGAGCGTCTGACTTCG